ACTAGGATATCCAATCTATCGTCCGTCGTTCTCTTTTCGCTGTTCTTGTCGTGTCCCTTGCCCGCGTATAATATATCTCCATGTATCCGCCATTTGTCACGGAATATTATGCATCGCGCGGCCACGCGTACTCGACCGGCATAAGGAACACCGATAGATACTCGAGTTTGGGTATTACTCGTGTTTTATCGCCTCGCGCGGTCCACCGAGTTCGAGAGTTTAACTCCGATCACGCTCGTGAGCTCCCGAGCAGAGAGTTAGAAAATCGCTCGGCTGACTCTCGGGGTCTAATGCGCGATTTACCGGCGGACCATGCGGAATCGTAGATTATAGTTAATATCCCAGAATTGAACTTCGATGATAAAGAAGCGTCTATGTGACAGGCATACTTAATTCTCCCTAGCTATTTAGAAGGCCTTAGAATCAAACCAATGCCAATGATCTCTTTATTTTAAGGTCCATTTGTTTAACATAACGATGAAAATTGATAGAGAATCGTTAGAAAAAAGTCTGCAACAAACGTTTTAGATAACATGCGAATAATATTACTGATATACGCTATTATTAGGATTATTTCTTTCACTATATATAATCTCTAAACAACGTAATAAAAGATTTTCATTATTAAATTTTTAGAATTAAATCTATCTTTTAGCATTTTAGTAACGTATTTAGAAACTTTTATATTGTATTTTCGATTATGATCAACTGTGTTCAATTTTAGCTTTCCAAGCGAAGTGCATTCATATCCGTCACCTTCCGTATTCCGATGCAAATTGCGGAAAATTGCGCCTAGCACTCTGACATTAATATTTACTTAGAAGTCACATAAACTGCACTCGCGTGGATATGCAAAATGCATTATGCGAGAAAGAAATTTTGGTCCGCGTAACGATGTTTCTCGCGGTTCACAATTACGCCGCAATTAATGGAATTACACACAGAAGTTTCATCCCGGCTTTAAGCGCCAGACGTTAATGCCGCGTATGCAGGCGGTCATTATCCGGCGGGTTTAAACCATCCGTCGTTGCTGCACGAATTAATCGGTTAAAGCGGGATAACGTCTGTACGTATTAATGCGTACGGAATTCGTTACGAATAATATCCAACTATTTTCTTTTGCAAGCCGCCGGCGGCAGTGCTACCGCTAATAATCGCTTTAATTACGCAACATATTCGATTATGTATTTCACTCTGTAACACATTATATATGGCGTGCATTACAACTAACGATTATAAATTTTAAATGATTATACAGAATATGCAAATTCGTGCGCAAGCCTCTATGTATATGCGTATGTACCTATGTATGTATGTATGTAATTAACTACATTCACATGAAATTTGCAACAAATGGCGATGTAATTATTGTGTAATCGGCTTTTCAGAATGGCTAACAGATTATAACATCAGATTACACGACCCTTCCGGCACTCTCTTTTCTATCCCTATCGTTACTATCGATTGCCGACTATTTCTGACCAACCAAGAGCAGATTCTGTACAAAATAAACATAGAGAGAGAGAGAGAGAGAAAAAGAGAGAGAGAGAGAGAGAGAGGGGGGGGAGAGAGAAAGAGAGATGTAAAATGCATAGACATAATGTACCCGTCGTGGTTTACATGTAAATACAATGGGAAGTCGGATAACATGAAAACGGCAGGTTTCGACATTGCGAATTTCACAGTGGACAATCACATGGGGCTCTAATCAAAACGAGCGCCATTCGAATGTGTGTATTGAAACGAGCCAATCAGACTGATGAGGCGAGCAATGTACAACGTATTCGTGCCATGTATACAGAATCGCTATAAACTTCTTTTTGCGAAAGATATGCATACGTCAATTGACATATAATTCCAATTAAAATAAAAATTAAATTATTAAAACGCAAATTAAATTTGCTTATTTGAATTGAAATGTTAAGTAACTCTTACTATTCACAAGTAAATCCATTCGATATGACAAACGTAATAAATGGCAGAGCAGCAAATGTACCAATCGATATACCAATTGACAAGATTGATACCTAACAAAATTTAGTAGAAGCCAAATTTTCAATGCCAATTTATATACAAAGTTACATATTATTAATTTTAAATATTTATAATATTATCAAAAATTAAAATCTAGAAGGATTATAAAAATTCATATTGAAATTGAAATAGTAACTGTAAATTTTTAACTCGACATAGTTAGTCGTTCTCCGGCCGTAAAAAATATTTTTCGGATAACGACTTCACGTCGATAACTACTAACGTTTATTAATTTTTTCGTATCTTAAAATATCTAACATTATTTCTCTATATTAATAAATGTGAATTAAAGTTTTTGTTTTGATTCAATTTATCATACTAATCGGATATATATATATATATATATATAAATGCAAAATGTATACAGCACATAGTAAAAATTTCAAGATAGTAAAGATTTCAAGATTTCAAGAACAAAGATATTATAAATATATTAAATATTATAAGATATTAAAAATATAAGAGAAAAAGTAACGAAAGAGGAATATATAGATATATATTTCTTTATCTTTAATTTAAAGACTCCATGTCTTTATAATGAATTGACAATTCTTTTTAAATCTGAACGCGAACAATGATATAAAATGTTATTGCAAACCATTATATTTCCCTATTATTTTTGAGAGTTTCTATATTCCATTCAAACACAGCAAAATATAATCGACAAGACAAACCGATATTGTGACAATAGAATATCAAAATAAAAAAAGGCAAATGCCCGCCCTACACATTCTTTTGTATTTCCAAATGATTGTTACGAATCAACTATCGTTAGCGGATTGCATGTATGCATACAAAGCCAGAATAAAAACAATATGGAAAAGAAAAAAAACCCTCGTAAATAGGATTATTACGATAGTTCATAGTAATAGCTGACAAATCAGCATCAAATCAGAAACTTTTGCATAATCTTTATAATAAAAGTTAGATTGTAAAAATTATGATTATGTGACTTAGACAGTCATTAGGATAAGTTTATAAATAAAGAAATTTTCATAAGTAATATTTTCTGAATTCTATTCTTTGCAACACATCTTATATATGTATATATTAATTCTAAACGATAATAATAACAATAATATCAATCATATTGAATTTTAGATTTTCTTTTATTTATAACGATTAACTTAAAAATTTAACTTTTGATAATCAATTTCAATTTAACAAATGAAACTACAATGTTCTTCAACAGTTTCAGTTTTATATATAGTTTTATATTAATTTGATACTCACCATAATAATCTTGAATAGACTTGCAATAGATGAAATCAGGAGTCAATCTAGAAAAAAATTGAATCATTTTTAAGCCTACATTATCATCAAGCATGTGTAAAATAAAGTTTAAAAAAAAAATAAAAAATAGGTATCAAGCACACATGCTGCACGTAGTACAATAAAAGATTTTTTGTACAAAAGATTGATGTCAAAACTAACGCCAATTTATAGTCGTCAATAAAATCTAATTGCGTTTTCAATTGCAGTGAGTTTGTTGCGACAGTAATTGATGATGTCATACGATCTACTCTGAGTTACTAGAATTACGTACCAAACTAATTATAATCGCATTTAGATGATTAGACGCTTAATACTTCAGAAAGATCATCAAGATCAATTATATGAAAGTTACTTCAGTAAATCTATAAATAAATTCTGCGTACACAGTCTTTGTTGTTTACAAAGAAATAATTTATTCTATAAATTTAACACATTAGTTCTTATTGTTTCTGAAGAAAAGATTTTTTCTATAAACGAATTTTAGTATGAGAGACACATATATCTGGTACTCGTTTTTTAATAACTTTTTCAAAATGTTACTTGATATATTTTTTTATATATCAAATTAGAACACGCACAATTTTTTAAATTTAAATTAGAAGCAATAAAATATTCTCATAAATATTCTCACTCCTTTTTTAATTTTAAAATATAGTTAAACAGAAGTCTTTATTAGAAAAAAGCTTTTGCCATCAATTCAAATTTTGAATACTTCTTGTTTTTTTTCAAATCGTATAATCTTTCGTGTTAATTCTAGTGATATTTGTGATGGAAGCTTATGTACTTTTCAGCTTAACTTGTCAAAAGATCTGCCATTACATTGACGATTTATTAAATCCTTTAAAAATAATAAAAGCTAGAATGTGCATGTTCGTTTATAAAATAGATTTTTCCTTTAAAAGCAACAAAAAGTATAACATAAAGTACTTAAAAGTGCTTTAAAATGGATTATTTTTTTTAAGTTGCAAGAATTTCTATTGGGCATTGAAAATTTATTAGTAATGAATATATTATTTAGATATACATTATTCATTTTATCTTTAATTTAGAAAGAAATTCAAAGTATATTACATTATGTAACTTCTCTTTTATTAATATTATTTTTTAGTTAAAAGACATCTGTTAAAGATCTATGTATAAAAAAAAATTTGTCAAAAAGTAAGTTATAAACTTCATTCACGCAACTGCGAGTCGTAAAGATAACGCTGTTTATTTGATGTTAAAAATAAGAGAGTCACGCTAAATTGTCTGATAATAACGACGTGGAGATTTTTAAAAATCTACATATTTGAACCTTTGCGTATATCTTCGTAGAGCATAAAGAAAAAAACTAAACATTTTTCATATACATTTTACATCTCAACTATCGATTAAGAGTAATTAGAACTTAATTGATTCAGTTATCGCTGAGATGTCAAAATTTGGGCTAATTTTACCTCGATGATTCGCGTATAAATAACTTCGTGTATAAATAAATAGCTACAGGCGTTTCGTCGCCATTACATACGAACTTCACTGTGCACCAATTTGGTATCGAAACACTTTCCGTATCTTTCGATTTCTGATAAAATGTATTAATAATAATCATTTAAATGTAACCTTGCTTTATTATTTATATAATGAGTTAATATCAGAATTAACTACATGTTAAAGTTAATGATATTAATTGATCATCAAAGCTCGCTATGATGAAATGATGCTAAATAATTATAACGGATAAATAAATGATTGCGAGGAGAATACGAGAAACGATTAAATATAAATATTTATCAATCGGTCGGCGCAGCGGTTGTAATTATTTCATTGTTCCGAACACGTATGTGCAAATCGAAAATGCAAACCAATCGAAAAAAATCGCAGCTAATTACGGTCGCGAGCGCTAATTACTAACGATCGCTCACGCGGCACTACCGAGACTTGCTCTGTCACGCGCAACTCGCTTCGAAACAAACAACGACGCGAAACAGAACGGGGCAGTCGTGCGTCCCTGACGCGACGACTCGTGTGTCAGAGCAACGTGTATACCGCATAGATTAGCAGAAAACGAAGGCCAAATCGCTCGCGCGGGCTAATTCAACGTTGATTTAACGTGCTAGGACTATCGTGCTTCTCTCGATTCGATACTATTCCCGACGTTCGTTCGCAAATCGGATTGTGAGTATACCAATCGGGAGAAACATCCGTAACATGCGTGCGATTCCTCGTCATTGATTTCCCGAGCAAAACGCTAAAACGCGTGATAGATAGACGCCAGACGGCGAGACCTGGCTAACGGCGACTTACGTCGGAAGTGACACGTCACGCGAGTCGGACGACGAAAAAAATCTTCGCGAGCCGCGTGATGCGCCGGTGACGCGCGTGCATCGTGATAAAACCGCGACGTGATAAAACCGCTACGTGTTGCGTGTTCGGCATAACTTGAACGTAATAACGACGGCCGATCACTACCGCGTATCTTAATACGATTAATACATCAAACGGGCTCGGCTGTTCGAACAATGTTCTCAATGCTCAATTAGGCACACGAGGCATCCCTCACCCGTTGGTGAGTGACGCGTGAAGCGTCGCGCTCGCGCTCCCATCTCCCGTCAGATCCATCGGATAATTAATCTCATTTTGCTCCGTGATCGTTCATTTTTTTATTCGTCGTTTATGTGTGTCGTGTGGACGCGCTAATCAGTAATTATTATAAATGGCGAACTGGGGTTTTTGGAAATTGGACGTAACACTGGAATAATAATAAATTGGCAACACATTATGATAATTTCGAGATGTTTAGAAGCATTTTATTCCCGACAAATTATGCATGTGTAAACACACATTGTTATTTTTATTATTTTGTTATATTGTATTTTATATTATTCTCGTAGTAGTGCGAGTAATTCCAGCTGCTGGAATATTAATTAGACACGGTTAAACACATTAATAATACGATAAAATCATTAATAAATCATAAATGATTGTAGCTTGCTTTTTGCATAATGTATACTTTATTCATAATATAAATATAATATAATTTGTAATATAAATTTTGTAAATTTTATTATAATTTTGTAATTATATCAAAATAAAATATCGGTGAAGAAGATAACTAAAGATTATTGAACAGATTATTGAAAAATACACATTTTTCATTATTCATTTCAATATTAATCAAATGTAAGATAATTTCATTAAGATGATTAATTAGACATTCTTAACAAATTGGATCTAAAACAATCATTCGCACTTAAAAGTAAAGATGTAGTTAGCAAAATTAAACTCACTTTGCTACGAGCTATAATTTACCCCAAACTTTAGAATTGAGCCGCGACACTTAAATTGTAGCCCACGTATCAATCGATCGCCGGCGTTATTCGAATCTTTTACATGTTAGAAATCAAGCGAGATGACGAGCAATTGTGATGAGACTTGATTACAGTATGCGGTAAGTTTAAATTCGTAGGCGGCACATCCTCTCACTCCTTTCTACAATTATTCATGCCGCTATATATAATATATATAATAGTATATAATGAGCCAAAACAACACACACACACACACACACACACACACACACACACAAATACAATGCATACGCATGTTTACATAATAATAATCTATTTTACATTAGAGTTTTACATTGATCATCCGACTATGTTTTTTTTACAGGTTTTCGTATTCAAGTCGTAAATGAACACACGTTTATGTTTCAAAAATAGAATTGGAAAATGCTGGAAACATATCCAGGATTATGAGTACATTATTCATTACATACTGATAGGATTAATTGTTCGTGTGCGTGCAACGTTTTATCGTCGTTGTGTCATCACGATTATGCTTTTCGGCGGGCAATTACAATATTTCTCCATACGCGTTTTCGCAAATTGAATAATAAAGAGTAAAAACCATCAACTGATTTTCCGTTCCATCGAAATGGTGCATTTCGTTTTTTTTTTTTTTTTTACCTTATTCTGTTTTGAAAGTAAAGATACATTAATAATAACAGCTTTTATATTCAATTTGAGTTGGATACAAACCGTTTGTCTCATTAATCCGATTTTATTTCAAATATATAACGATGAGTTTTACCGTAGCAATCATAGCATTATTTAAATCAAATCTATCTATTTCAATCTAAATCGAAAATGCATGTACATTTTATGATTAGTACTCACGATTCTATTTCGCTTTTAATGTTTGTATATCTTAATACATCAGCATTTAATATGCCTGAAAATCGCGAATATTTCGCGAAAATCTCTTTCGCAGTTAATTTTGTAAGAGATAAACAATAACATAGATGAGAGATAAAGTAATTCATCATCATCAATGGACGCCATTCAGCATTATAGATCATCATTGATCTTGTTATTCATCGAATCGTTTGTCAGAGATTTCATAGAGATTTGCCGTAGCAGAAATATTACGCAATTTTCAGGGCAATTTAAACGACGATTTTGAGATGAAAGTGAAGACGACTCTCGAAAGGGACGGGGTTAAATTTCGGCGTTTCGTTTCGATAAGCACGGAAAGTCCGATCAAAAACGAAGTTTGATGCACGAGCGAGATCAGTCTTCAGTTCAGGGTTAGAACAACAAATTCTTCTCGTTTCCTACCTCTCTTTCTCTTGTCGCGGCGGTTATGGCAGCGAGAATACCTGTTATCGTTATATGATGCGGAAAAATTGACTGGGTACCCTCCTTCGCCATGTTTCGCCTTCTTTTTGCGACGTAGATGGCGATACACGCCATTTTCAGTACAAAAATATTTTCTTATCGCAAGCAGACTTTCTTTCTCAGAAAGATTTTCACAAACATATTTCCCTTTTTAACAATATTTTCTATCGCAAGCTAATCGATTATTTATTCTAACTCTCTTTACTTTATATTCTCTATTGTCTGTTATTCATTTCTAAAAGCTTTCTGAAATTTTTGATACACTAGTTTATATAAAGACACATCCGACCGGTATTTGTTTCTGTTAGATCTGCTCGATTGTATTACGTTATATTTTTATTTAAAGT